AATCTGTAAAGTGCGAGGTCCCGGTCATGTGGTGGTTCTGGAGACTTTTCTTTGGTGGCAGATCCAACATGCGAGGTGCTGGATCTGGCACAAATTAAACCCTTACCAAACCACTGAACCAGAATATTGAAAAACGCCCAGCAAACACTCATTTTTAACATATTGTTGCGTTTGATTCTTGCTTCACCCGATTTTTTTTCCCCCAAATAAGAACATTTGAAAGGAGGCCAAAGGAGAAGGATGTGAAAAAAACATCCCATTGGAATTCTACAGCAAAGAAATTGCTTAGGCTGAAGTGGAGCAAAGAAAGACCTGTTGGTATTACAATGAATAAAGATTTTTTTTTTTTTCAGTTTGTCTTAGGACTTTTTCACGTATCCCCGTATGTAAGTGTGTGTGCGGAGAAGCACGGAAACTCTCCTCTAGACATCTGTTCGGTGAGCATCGAGGTAGCATTTACACAGGGCCACAGCAAAAACAACGGCGTTAAACATATGTGATATGTATAGACACAAACTCAACGTGATTTGATACACGTCGTTCCTTTTCTGTTGTGAATTCCCAGTATGACCTCACATATTTTTACAGGTTGGATGTGACCTTTTTTTTGTTGTCATTCACTCATCAGTAACAGGGCTTTCTTTAAAGTGTGTGTGTGTGTTTCTATTTATGATACAGCAATCCAATAGCATGCCTTTGTTTTGTAAAACTTGAATGACCAATTATATCCTTAGCAATTTTTCCACGGACCAATAGCAGGAGCGCGTGCGTGTGAGGGCACATTACCACATAAAACATAACAAAGTGCAATTTTTACTTAAATATATATCACATAAGTATAATTAGTATTTTATATTATGAGGAGCAGAAATAAATACTATTTTTTTCAAAATAAAATATATAAGATTAATATATATTAATTAATAAATAAATGAAAAATCTAAATAAATGATATCTTTGTAGCCCTGTATGAAATGATGCAGGATCCAGTATTGGTCCGCGGTCCGGTGATTGCGAACCCCTGAACTAGGAGCCTTTTTTTTTTTTTGGTCATCCCTCTGTTTTTATTGTAGCATTGCTCTGTTATTCAATGTAAGAAACAAAAGGTTCCATCATAACAGTGGCCGCTAACAAACACAGGACCGAAAATAGACTCAATGCTAACAGTTGGTTGTTTTATTTTTAATTAAATGTACGGAAAGGAAACAGAAACGTTCTCTGTACTCAACAGAAACTCCAGCGGGACGTGACCTTCGAACAGCGTGTTCTTATTTGGGCCAGTTCTTTAAAAAAGAAAAGAAAAAAAAGTAAATGACATTGCTGTAACACATCAGCCGTTCCACTGGGAATATTGTGCAGGAAGTGAAGTTATCCATTACGCTGGTAAAAGGTTGATGCTGATTGGTTGACAGGATGAGATTATTTATTTATTTTCCCTTTTTTTATTTGATGTCATTTCATATGGCTACGTCTCTCATATATTTAATTATGATAGTGGTAAGACAAAAGTTTGGCCTTGCCTGAAGCTAACGCTATTGCTAGCACAGTTGATCAGGGGAATAAAAACATATTCTCCGTAGTGAACAGGACGACCAACAACCTGGGCATGTTTTCTTCTTTGCCCTTTGCTTTTTTATTTATGTGAGCTCAGTGAAGAAACAAGGTAAGGTCGTAGAGGTCGGGGGAGCCACGGGGCGCTACTAAACAAAGGCAGCGTCTCCTAATGGACAACCTGAGCGGTTGTTAAACCATTTTAGACATTTTGCGACGACGGTTAATTTGTCCTCAGTCGACTGTGTCTCTCTCTTGCGTCTCGTTCACGCCTCAGCGCAGGTGAAACCTAACGCCCTGACAATGTAAAGGATGTTCTGCACGTGTTACATAATGGCTGCGGGAATCAGGCACTTAGACCGTACAGAACGAACACCGAGAGTTTTCTGACAGTGACTCAGAAGTGAAGCAGCCTCTCGGGTAAAACTGGGAGATCTTCTGGGGACTCATGCAGGTCCAGTCGCCGACTGTTAAACTTCTGAGGTTTACGATGACCGAGACAGCTGTAGCCCACAAAGACAATATCAGGCGGAAACAGGAGGAGATAAGGAGGCAGGAGTGTGTGAGACAGTGTGGAGGTAGAAGGAGTCTTCAGGCAGAGGAACAGTGAGTGGGCAATTTTTTTTTTTTTTCTGTTTCAGTGTCTCTCCGCTTTGCTGGATGTCAGCCATTCATTAGCTGCATCTTCACTAGCGCTAGCTGCAATTATGGTAATGTTTACTCAACATGGAGGCCTGACAGCTTGCTCGAGAATAAAACTGATTAAATGAGTGACTTGGCCCGTTAAGACTGCACGCTAATGTGTGTGCGCGCGTGCGTGCGAGTGTGTGTGAGTGTCATGTGCCTGTGTGCACTTGTCAGCGCGTATTGGTGGTTAACAGTGAGTGTCTGCATCTTAGCATGTGCCGTGCTGTCGCTACATTGTACTTTTTTTCTCCAAGTTAATCTGTGCTGCAGCCAGCGACGGATCTATTTCACTCAGCAGCCAATCGGATTGTCTGTCGTTGGTGAGGAAGCTCCACCCACGCCATGAGTAAAAAAAACGGCTTGTAAATGAACTCTGTGACATGTTTGTCTATCCTATCTTTTGGAAATGTTGAACACATTTAAATAATAAATGGGAATTTGTTTGAGTGACTCGTCTCAGCAGAGTTCCTGGATTCAAATTCACTAATTAGGGAATATAATCTGCACCGGAATCTCATTTACTACTGACAGTTTACGACTACAGTGGGTTCAAATGACTAACGATGTGTTGGAGCCGTTGTGTTAGCAGGCAGCAAAGAAAGTTGATGATGATGATGATGACGAAGATCACCAAAACATATAATAAGATACTGTATGTAGGAGTATTTTCAATTTAACCCATACTACAAAGTACAGTTCTCCTTTACAGTATACCACAGGGTATCACAGTAAAGCTACTCATAGAAAGTCAAAGTGAAGCCAAAACACTAGAAACACATTGAGTCCAGTTGAACTTAAATTCTGTCACACCTAACAGTGAGGTTCCTCAGGGCTGAATCTCTGGTCTACTACTTTTTCTCTTAGAATACTTTCACTGTGTTTCTTTTTTTGGGGGGTGGAGGGGGGCAAATTTTGCCTTTCTTTGAAATTGATTTTTGTGAAATCAATTCTATTGTTAAGTTCTTTTTAATCAATTCATGAATGTTTTTTTCTTAACAATCGTCCTATTGTAGCATTCATGTTGAATTCAGGTATTTAGGTTTTGCGATCTTTGGCTCTAATTCATTCTTTAGCTAATTCTTATTTACTCGTGACCGACTTTGAGTCTAAGGCATTATTTATTACAATTCTACAACTCTTTAACTCGTCTGCGATGTCTTTTCAGGTGAATGGCTTCTTCGAACTCTTTTGATTATTTCAAAAGTCTTATTCTATAGAGTCCAATATAATTTCATACCATAAGGAAATTCCAATATTTTCCCATAAAAAATATAAATATATTTAAGAGGAATGCATTTTCCCAACACCTGTGTGTGATGCTCTCTGCTTACATCTGTGTAGCTTTGTATGAAGGTGTTCTCAGAGACAGAGACAGTCCTCGGGTCACATCCACCCAGACGAATTAAGCAGCGTTTTTAAGTGTCGTTCGCGGCCATGGCGTTTCCCACAGATTCTCATTAGAGGTGTGATATGCCTTGTGAGAAAGCGGGAGAAGAAGAGTGGTTGAAGAAAGATTGAAGGAAATGGAAAAGAAGGAGAATATGGTCTGACAAAGACGGATGGAGACGCAAGAAAAAGACCAGGCCACGGAGAGGAGTAATAGGGAAGGACTGGATAGGAAGGGGAGAGTAAAAAGAAATGAAAGGAAAGACTGGCATATAGACAGAATGGGGGGGGGGGGGGGGGGAACCAATTTGGGGGGGGGGGGGGGGGGGGGGGGGGGGTGATACCAATTTGGGATGAGAGGAAGGAGGGCTGGATTGTCTTCAGGATAGAGTGATTCTCTGTCTGGCTTTGTGAGGTGTCGGCCCAGATTAGTCAGCACAGAGCTGGGGGAGAGGGTTTGAGATAGCTTGGATTGGACAAGTGTCAAGGACTCGATATCCCTCAGACCTGGCAGGAATGGGATGTGACAATAGCCGCAGTGCCGGGCTGAACAACTTTGTTGTTAGCAGAGCCAGTCCTCGCTGTCTGTGTATCATTTCATCAAATTCTCTTTGTCCTCCAGCAGCTTTAACGACATGCACACCAGTGTAAAACAGAACGCCGCGGCTTTGTTCAGTAACATCTGCGAATAATTTCCGATGTAAATTCGGAGAAAATTGTCACCAAAAAGTAAGACCACCACAAAAAGCGCTTACCAGCTGTGTTTTAGTGTTCGACACCTGGCCAGTTTGGGTGTAATATACTTTGGTTTCATTTCGCTCTGAAGAAACTCGGGAAGTTGAAGTAGCAACAGGATTTAAAAAAGTTTACTTTTCTTTGACAAAAAACAGCACAGAGTTGGTGTCTTTAAAACAAGATTCAACCTGTGGCTGTGAAGAGCACATGGGTGAGAATCATATTTTTCTATCTCTCACTGAGGAAAGAAATGTTGGGTTTTTTTTTTGTCAAAATGGACAGTAACATACAGTAGATTAACTTTTACCAACAGAAATATGATAAAGAGGAAGGAAAAGAAATGGTCTAAAGGTCAAAGGTTGTCTATGGCACAGCTCATCACCAGTAAGTAGAAATAATTGCAATTTTAGAATTGATTTGAAATAATAATAATAATAATAATAATAATAATAATAATAATAAATGCAGTATTATTATGATAATATTTTATACAGTACCTTATATTATTTATTTCATA